GATTACATCAAATATATTATACATCCTTATCCTAATAATGTCCCAGTCAAAGGATAAATTTTTGTTTCTGTATTACTATTATTTTGTTTAGCTTGGAATAGAGCTGTGACTCTTATAGAGACATCTGCTAGTGAGATTTGGTCCAATTACAGCGTTTTTCAGCTTAATCATGGCCATTTGTAAGTTATAGTGAATGTACATACTTGAACTCTCTGTTGTGTATCAGTGTTTATCAATCTGAATGATTTGGTTTTATACTTCATATTTCTGCCATTGACTCAGAATGTCCATACATTCATGAGGAATTTGTGTTCTAGAGGTGTCCATAGATTTGATGTTTCTTTACTGGTAGTTTTGTTTCACTTGGAATAGAGCTAAATGTGTCTAAAAAGCAGAACACTCCAAGGTTGGTGGTTATTGAGACATCTTTTAGTTTAGATTTGGTCTGAATACGGTTATGGAACTTTCATCAGTTCTTCCTCTAACGCATTCAACCAGCCAATCTCACAGTCAGGCATGCTTATACCACTACACTCATGAGCAGAATCTTAGCTAGATCATACCGTCCACACACTTCCATGGCTCCATTAATCTTTAGGAGGCATCCTGATAGGTTTTTTAAACACTCTTAGGTGAAACAGGATTGTTCCTTCTATGTGACGACCTCTCACATATCTACGTATACATTCTGGTTCTTGAATTGGTTTTAAGTTGGTCTTTGTTTCATGATGCTAATATCTTCTGTTAACTGGTTGTTTCAAAATGTTTGCAGGGCGGTTATAACTCGGATTTCATGATATTCAATCACCGTGGTCGGCTATTCCCACCAGAGATCGACATGAAGTTTTAATTTAAAAAAAAAAAAAAAATCATACTGCTTAGTCAAACACTGATCGCAGGATCATGAGATGTTTCCATTGAAATTCTACTCAAAGTAAGTACTTTGCTTTGCATCAATTACTGATTATTGAACGAGTCTTGTATAGTTTCTGCATGTCCAAGTCTCTAATAAAACCAACAAGGCTTGTCCGACTCCCCGAGCATTACAAAAGTATCCAAATAGACATTCATACAGATGAAAAGAATACAAATATTCATGAAAAAATATCCTAATTCAATTGCTTGTACTTTGTGTTTGCTATGTAACATGTGAAAAAAGACAAAAACAAAATCTTGTGATCTTAATTCTTTTGCTTTAATTGGGATCGACATTCTTTTGATCTATCCAATATTATTATGAGATATTTCCACAAAAAAAAAAAAACTCAAAAAAAGTATTTTTATTTGGATCAAGCAGTGACGATTCTTGAACGAGTTTTTTTTTCTTTTTCTTTCTTCCTTGTTGATCGTACAATACACCATCTAAACTCAAAATCTAATAATTCAGTGAATTTGTCTAAAGACACCATCAAGCAAGCTTACATATGACGAAAATGTGAAAGTTGCATAGGCCGGACCTAACCCTCATTAATAAAAATTAGAGCTAGATTTAGAAACTCGAAAACAAGTTGTAATATTAAACTGTTAGATGTCTAATCTCAAGATCCATAGTTGACTCTGCGCTCGTATAATCGTGCTTTCTATTTTAATTAGCATATACTAAGACAAGATCCACAAGCTACGGGGGTCATATACAAATCATAATTAGAACAAATATATGGAGAGCACTAAGTTTTATTATAATCACAGATTCGTAGAGTATTTATATTCAGTCAGACCGTTAATTAGTGTATTTGTACAGCTTAATCAAACATTTATCTTTTTCAATGTTATGAGATGTTTCTACGACTACTTTCCCCTCCGTCAGTTTAGTGATTCCTGAATGTCTTCGGAAGTTTCCTCTGACTCGGCCCACTATGATATTTTTGTTTTAAAGTAAAAAATCATTTCGTTAATCATAACTTCTTCCTAATTTTCGTTTATAAATATCGTCAAAGTTGTTAGTCAAAAATGATATTCATTTTTAACGACTTCTTTGTGTATCTATCTTTATTCCACTGCTACTTGCTAGTATTTTACACCAGGGCATCAAAAGCTGATCATTCAATAATTTTGTTTTCGAAGAAATTGTCGAGGTTGCATTCTAAACAACCCTCATTAATAAAAGAGACCTTTTTTTTTTGAAACTTTGTTCCCTTCTGCTCGTTCAATTATTTGGCCTAAAAATATATTTATAAAAACCATTCAATAATTAATCTATAATCTCTTAAATTAATCGTTGGCTTCGGACAGCCTGTAAACTTGAAATTTACTAGTAATTTTATGTATATATGGTATTAGAATTAGCATTCAGAAACATATCCCAGATAGAAAGCAGTAAAAGTTTAATACTAACATTCAAACCCAAAAAAACTCGGCAACGCAATGGATTCAAATTCGGAGCAGAAGATCAGATCACTCATTTCTCAACTACAGTATCCCGACAATACTGATGCAGAGGACATATCACTCATGATTCAGATCATCTCTATGATGATGTCAATGGATTTGGATTCGGAGC